ATCAACGAGCCCCGACTGTTCTCCAGTTTCGCGTATGGAAGGTCGTTGCCGGTCTACCCTCTGTTGGCCCCTGGTCTAGAGATGCATGGGGTGGGGGAGTATCTGGCATGTCACACCATGCTGCTGGCCCACGCCAAGGCTTACCACCTTTACAACAACCACTACAGGGAGGTACAGCAGGGTAAGTGTTGGTAATTCCAGTTCTACCTTAATTTGAATGTCTACTCCACTGGTAAAATATTCAGCACCATTTTAAGATGTAATGTAAAATTTAAAATGAACCATAAAGTTGTAAGTCGACAAAATCTTTGAAGAGGCTCCATTGCGTAAGCTTGGTCTAATTTTCCAGTTTTAATATTTTTAAACATTTATTTTGTTATAGGTCAAATAGGAATCGTGGCAGACGGGTTCTATTACAGGCCCGCTACTAACAATCCAAAAGACTTGGAGGCAGCTGAAAGAGGGCTTACATTTGAGGTAATGTACACAATTTTTCGAGATCAAAAATATTTTGATTTATGATGGCTTCAACCAAACCTATAACTACAATACCCCCACTGCAGCCAACCTGCAGACTATTAGTGAATTTCCATTTGCCTGATTTGAAATGAAATGAAATGAAATGAAAATCCTTCTTTATTGAGTCGAACTTATGACCTCATGGTCCTTTCTTACAGTTAACCTCTAAATAATAATAGTAATAACAATAATACATGACATGAACAAAAGTAAAATACACATTTCGTAACATAATTAATAATAAACAACATAACATACATTTCTTTTCCTAGCATGCAGTCACACACACATACACTCTTTGCAGCAGCTAAGCCTAACGCACATAAATGCATTTTGATTTGATTTTTACTTAAATCTATTTAAATAGCATTAAGTTTAACAAGGACCTTGGTTTGCTGTACATGGAGGGTAATTAAGTGTGTTTTAGTAAAATATTAATAGCTTAGTATTAAATAAATAAATTGGCCAAGTTTGATTGAAATATATCCACAAACAAGCCAGAAGCCGTACATGTGGGCGAGGGGAGCGTTGTTAGACTTTGCTCTAAACACCAGCGACTAGTGTTAGATACTACTTAATTGAACCATTGAATGTTTCCTGTGTACCTTACTTCTTTGTGATTGTACTCAAACATTTATTAGTCAGACTAAAATTTATATACTTTAACTACACAATTGGAAAAATAAAATTATAATTGGTTTTATCTAATTTCAGTTAGTCCAAGTCTTTAGTTATACGATTTTGTATCAAATATGTTGCTTAGAAATACTGGAGGTGTGAAATAAGTGATAGAACCTCTTAAACAGCCTTATTGGTGTAACCTATAATTATTTTACACTTCAATAGCTAACTGAGTTTTGTTATATTTCCAGGTCAATTTTGTCTATACATTATTGTCATGTTCCAGCTAGGATGGGTTTTACACCCCATCTTCAGCCAAGAAGGAGATTATCCCACTATAATGAAGGAGAGAGTAGCTGAGAACAGTATGAAGGAGGGAAGGTATAGATCTCGGTTACCATCCTTCACACCAGAGCAAATAGAAATGATCAAAGGTAAAATATCCTTCATGATATTTTCTCTTTGTACGTAAAAGTGAGTAGTTTTAGGTAAAGATGAGTGTTAATGATTGAGATAACAGTGTAACTGTTAAAGATTAGCTGAGTCTTTAGATAGGAAGTTTAATGAGAAAGAAATATCTTATTAAATCATGAAATCTACAACAACAATTTTTAAGTTTACCTAGTGGTTCAGATTCTTGAGGCTTATGATTATGAAGCCCGATGTACATTTCACCAACATGTATGGCATCTTCAGGAGCACAGTTGATATATTTACATTAATGCAAATGACTAAATTATTATTAATTTTTTAGACTATTTATTGTAGTTTATAACAAGGACAGTAGGTTACATAACTCATTTATAGAATGCATTCAAACAAGAGCCAAAATGTACATCTATATAAATAATTTACTTTCTAAACAGTTGGTTTTAAGTCATTATCAAGTTAGGTACAGTTTGTAGAATGTTGAGCTCTGCTGAATTTAACTTAACCGTGGGGTTTGCTAGCACAGTTGATGTTGCATTAATAAATATTTACTTAACCAAATGGTTTATTGAGTATATTTTCCTACAGGGTCTGCAGATTTCCTAGGGCTGAATCACTACACAACATACGTCGTATCTGAGGGTGAATGTGGAGCCAACCCTTCACAAAACAGGGATACCAACTTTATCAGATCTATTGACCCTAAAACCACAACCCCTAGATATCCTTCCTGGCTCGCTGTAAGTATATCCAATCCTAGTTGATTCTTGTTTTTAGTAACACATAAATCTAGTGTTTTCTTGATATAATTTTTTGTTATTGTAAAACTATGTAGCAGCAATATGGTTTTACGCTGGCTACAAGAGAAGCAATTGAGCAACAAAACCAACAACTGGAATCAATCTTAATGTTTTTTAAGGAATCCTAGAAGAAAAAAAAATATATTCGGACAATGAGTTTGTGTCTAGTTCATTTTTTAAGTTTGTCAGACTCTTTCTACTTTGTTTTTTCCAGTGTTATTGGCTTTGCTCTTGTGCTAGATATATATCGTGTCAAACAAAGTAAAGCTTCAGTAAACAATTAAATATGTATACATTTTATTGGCCTCACTGGTATTTGAACCAATGACAAAAGTGGTGGTTCAAAAGTTCATCTCATTCTAAAAGGACACAATTTCCTACTATCATTCTGCAATATCCATATAAATCCCAAAGTACCGATGAACTTTTGAGAAAACTACAAGTCACACCCCCATAAACCATACTTAAAATGTGGAAAGATTGAGGTTATAAAGGTTATACAGGTGTTTTTATCAGTCCTCATTTTTCAGTTACTTTCTATTAAATCAAGCAGTTTTTAGTGTAAAAGTGTTTTGTAAATGAATGGTACAGTGTTTCTATATAAAACTATTAAATAAGTGTCGGTTTTTATTAAATCTTTATATATAAATATTTTCAGTATTCTATTTATAACCTACAAGAGAATTTCCACTAGGAAGATATTACCTGAATTTTCCATTAACGGTGTTAATATATGAAGAATATACAACCTGCACATAAACTAAGCACAATTAAAGTTAAATTTTACAGTCAATGGAGATTATACTGGAATCAAGATTAGTAATTGAGACAACTGACTAACCTGGCCTTGGCCAAGGACAAACTGGTACCTACCTTAAATTGTTATCTCTTATCAGTTGGTTTATTTACCAACTTAAGTTATCTGCTTTAAACTGGAACTATTGCTCTATTCAGAATTACACTAGATTTTTAATTAGACTCTAAAGAGTTCTCAATTAACACAACTGTTAATATAATTATCAAAAGCTAACATTTTATTTTATTTTACCAACTATAGAGGTTTTATTTTATTTTATATTATGAATTTAAATCTGTTATAAAATACAGTATAAACATGAGTCCTACAAAAAGTAAATTTAATACTGGGGACAGAGTCTTTGCAAAAATAAAAGGATACCCACATTGGCCAGCAACTGTTACGGCAATAGACTTATCTAAGAATATTAATAAATATACTGTTCAATTTTATGGTACTAATGAGATTAGTGTAGTAAAGGAAGTGGATATTTGCTCTTACAAAGAGAACAAATCACTTTATGGAAAGTTAAAGGTTAAAAATACTAAATTCAATACAGCAATCAGAGAAGCTGAGAGAAGTTTTAATGCAAGCTTTAAATGCCTAAATGACAAAAATCATGATGGGCAAAAGGAAATCAGCAGTATTTCAATACAAGACTCTATAACTGAAAGTTCTGGGATTCTGTGTGAAGATCCCTCTGTTACTAGTACCCCACTAAATATGCAGACAAAAACAGCAAATGTTGAAATAGAACTAGATGTAATCACACCAGATCACCTGGAAAGACAAGTAACCTCCAATGGCATGAACACCTGTAATATTAATGAGAATAAAACCTCTCAAAAAAGAAATGCATTAACACTGGACATTTTAGGAAATAATTGGCTTTCAGATGATGCAATTCAGTTTTATTACGAACTACTCACCGATTCAGTAATAAATAGAACTATAGAATGTGATAAAACAAATATCGCTTTAATAAACCCCATAATCTCCCAAGCAATCAAATGCCTCAATAACTTTGAGCATTTTCTTAGTAACATGGATCTAAAGAATAAAACACATGTGTTGATCCCGGTTAACGATTCCCCTGCTGTTGACAAACCTGGTGGCTCAGGGTCGCATTGGAGCTTACTGCTTTATGTTACTGAGAAAAAAGAATTCTTCTATTTTGACTCGTTGAAATTAAAAAACTATGAACACGCAGTTAAAATAAGCTCTGCCTGGCAAACATTGATAGGTGAGACAAAAGTTTGTAACATAACACCTGTAAGCGTTCCTCAACAGTTTAACGGATTTGACTGTGGCATTTACTTGATCATATTCACTGAAATAATAATCCAAGGTATCATGCAGGGAAAAGATACATTTGAGTCCCTCCAAAACCTATTTCCTATCATTTCACAAAGCACGCTGATTCTAAAAAGATCTCAGTTAGCCTTGTTCTTTTTAAACCGTGCACTTCATTTGACTCCGGACATTATCCGTGAAATGATGACATCGCCAAAGCTTTCTCAATCATCTAAAACAGATCTCAAAAGGGTTGAGAATGAGTATAAACAGGCAGCTGTTACGAATCCAACAAGTGTTGAAACTACTCCATCAGCTACAAATAACATAGGCAAGGAAATGAACAATGACGGCTTTAGGTATCAGAAAAAAGCATCAAGACCTAAAAATACTGGCACTTACTTTCCCACAACAACAAATCGGTATGCATCACTGAGTAATTACCAACCAGAAGAGGAAGACCTTTACATTTCTACTCATAATTACGAGACATTGACACAAAAATCTCCTTCCTCAAATAAGCAGATGCCGAATAAAAGTAGAAAACATGTTGCTAAACCTAACATGTTTAAAGATAGAAAACATGCTCCAATTGAAAACAAGATAAACTCCACACAAACAAGTGGGAGCTTACCTCGGCGGACCAAAGTGTATGTAATTGCAGACAGCCATGGAAAAGGATTAGGAAATTTATTACAGTCATTGCTACCTCGATCTATTGACACCTTTGTTTCAGCAAGCTCTGGGGGAAAACTTGACCATATATTACAGAAAACTGCAAACATTGTAAGGGACTTCAACGAGAATGACATAGCTGTCATTATTGCAGGAGCCAATAACATTGAAGACATCACTGAGAAAGTTCAAACTAAGGAAGAAAACATTCCAGTTACATTGAATAATTTTTCTAAAGCAAACAGTCATACAAATTTTATCTATGTGACGCAACCCTACCGTTTTGACTTGGCACGTGACAACCCTTTAAACAAAGAAATTCACAAAATCAACTGTGAATTGAAACAAATGAGACATCTCAATTTAATAAATATTAGTGACTTTAAACGTAAATTTTTCACTGTTCACGGACAACACCTGAATAAGCTTGGGAAGCAGGTGCTAAGCAGAAGAATAGCAGATCTAGCATTAAATCTAAACCGTACAAAAGAATTGGCAGAAATTGAAACAAAAATATTCTTAAAAGTAATGGAGGAAGACATGGATACATACATTGAGAAGAATAGCAGTGACCCAGAAGTTGCATATGCTCACTGTATTTCAGCAGATTTTGATCAGCAGAAAACTGTACAGGGAGCCGCTGTGTACAGTCTTGTAACAAAGCCCAAATATTTTCAAAATGCCAACAATTTTTCTGAATATAAAACAAACTATGATCTGGCCTTCTCTCAACTAACTGATGATTTTAAAACTCGTAATTTAAAAACTTTAATTTGCTCAACTATGGGCTGCAACAGAGATCGTGTCACTCCCGCTCATTTTGTCTCAAACGTATTGGAATTTCAAAAACTAACAGGAGCTGCTGTGATCATTGTAACAGGCAAAAGAATATCAAATAAATTTTAAAAAAAATGGATTAAAACAATCAACATTCATCAAATATCTTAAACAAACAATCATTGATCAGTACATACAGAGGTGCCAAATACAATACAACCCTGTTGAAAATTCATCATTGTTAACTTCACCAGCACGTAGCAGACCTCAACCCCAGCCGATAACTCCCAACAACCCTACCATCAGCACCAGCAGCCCACCAACAGTTCCAGGTCATCTTTTATTTAGTGAAGTGATAAAAATACCGGAAAGTGTTTTAAAAAAGCAGAGCAGTGAAAGTTTAAATAATAATGTAATAGAAAGTAGTAATAGTGATAAGGACAATCTTGTAATAAATCCACTTGATTCCTCTTTAAACTTACTGGACAAGACACCACAAATAAAAAGATAGGACTAATTAAAAATTCAAAATTCAAAATTTTCCACCAAAACATACAACATTTAGAATCAAGAATTGAGCAACTAGAAATAACCATAGATGAATTAAATCCAGATGTAATAATACTAACTAAACATGATTTGAAACCAGATGAAATCACTAGGGTTAACATAAAAAATTATCAAATTAATGTATCGTTTTCAAGAAAAAATTCCTCTAAAGGCGGTGTCATGATTGTGTCCAAGATGGGTATTGAAGGGAAACAGGTGGATATTCCCGAATTTTTGTCAAATAGATTTATAGAAGAAAAACAGTTTGAGCTCTGTGCTTATAGTTTTGTTAAATGTAATTTTAGGTTTTTAATAGTTGGTGTCTATAGATCCCCTAGTTCAGATTATCAAACTTTTTTGGATAGATTAAGTATTTTTATTGACTTTTTTAACAAGAAATACACACATATCATAATTGGAGGAGACATTAATATAGATGTTTTGAAAAATGATGATAAGCACAAATGCCTAAAATACGTTCTAAAAAGCCATAATATGAAATATTTGATCACTTTTCCAACTAGAATAACAGAAAATTCCAAAACAGCTATAGACAATTTTTTTATAAAAAATCAAGAAAATTATAACATTTCAATAGAAGGAATAGTATCCTGCTTGTCAGATCATGATGGACAAGTATTATCTTTCAATAATCTAAATTCAAATGACAATACCACAAATAAGATGTTGAAGCAGGAGGTACGTAAGTTTTCTCCAGAAAACATTGCCCATTTCTCAGACCTATTAAAAAATGAAACATGGGAAGAAGTATATTTTGCCCCAGTCGAAGAAAAGTATAGTATTTTCAATGAAATTTTCAGATATTACTTTGAACTAGCATTTCCAAAGAAATTGATAACTAAAAAGAACAAAAATTCAAATTGGATGTCAAATGAAATAAAAACTAAAAGACAAGAAATAATACAACTAACTAATGAATTCAGGCAAAGTAAAAACACAAAATTAAAACCAATACTAAAACAACAAAAAGTAGCATTTAGGAATCATATAAAAAAGGCTAAAACAACTTTTTATGAAGATCAAATATATAAATCATCAAATGTTCAAAAAACTGTTTGGAACATAATAAATTCAGAAGTTGTAAAGAATAATAGATCAATAAGAAAGTTTGTGTTAAATGATGGCTTAAATGATATAACTAATCCTAAGGATGTTTCAAATATGTTTAATAGGTATTTTACAAATGTTGTTAAGAATATAACTACTAGTAATCATATACATTTAAACAAAGAATTAGAAAAGAACTCATTCTTAAGTACATGTTTTAGACTCAATCCTGTAAATGAACATGAGGTGGAAAAAGTCATTAGCAGTTTGAAAAATAAGCTTTCAAGTGGCTATGATGAAGTGCCTACTACAGTATTAAAGGGAGCAAGCCAATACTTAACGAAAGTTTTATGTCACCTGATTAATTCTTCTTTCATTTCTGGTTTGTTTCCGGACCAACTTAAAATAGCCAAAATAATTCCAATCCATAAAAAAGATGATCCTAAAAATGTTTCTAATTATAGACCCGTAGCTCTGCTTCCTTCTGTTTCTAAAATATTTGAGAAAATAGTTTCTGTACAATTAACGTCATATCTAGAGCAACACAACTTATTTGATGACTTACAGCACGGTTTCAGGTCAGGAAGATCTGTTATTAGTGCGGCAGTATCCTTCATAGAATCAGTAATAGAGTCAGTTGACGAGGGCAAACATACAACAGGTATATTTATGGACCTTTCAAGAGCATTTGACAGTGTTAATCATCTAATTTTAATAGAAAAATTAAAGAATATTGGCATTTCAAAAACATCTCTAAATTGGTTCAATACATTTCTTGTAAATAGGTATCAGTATGTAGAAGTAAAACATTTGTCACCGAATAACAAATCAACAAATATAGTTTCAGACCTGGAACTAGTAAAATATGGTGTCCCACAGGGATCAATATTAGGACCTTTGCTTTTTATAATATATCTCAAGGATATAAATAAGGTTCTGTCTTATAAGAACAACAGTCAGCTTTATCTGTACGCTGATGATTCCAATTTAAAAATAACATCAAACTCAATAGAACAAATGGAAATACGATCTTTTGTAGAGCTAGAAAATTTAAACGATTACTTAAAAAATCATAATTTGTTACTAAATACACTAAAAACTAACTTCATGCAATTTAGAACTGCACAAAATAAAAAAAATGAGAATTTAATTATTATGTCAGATTCACAGATGATTGAGGAGAAGACAAGTACATGCTTCCTTGGTTTAACAGTGGATGCAAATTTAAATTGGAATGATCATGTAGGTAAGGTGTTATCAAAAGTTAACTCTGGTATATATGCTCTTAGGAAAATGTCGTTATACTGTGGATTGGAGACATTACGCCATATCTATTTTTCATACATTCACTCACACATAAGTTTCGGATTGTGTCTTTTTGGAGCAACAGGGAAAATAAATTTAGACAGTATTTTGAAAGAACAAAAAAGAGCCATAAAAATCATTCTTAAACTAAATTATGATCAATCAGCGAAAGAGGAACACTTTGTTAATCTTAAAATTCCCACAGTTTATGGACAATACATCTATGACTGCATACTAATTTCTAAAAATGAGGCAGTAAGTCCTAAATCTTCCATATGCCACAAGTATAATACAAGGCATAAAAATGAAATTATCCCAAATCATCACAGATTAAAATTTTACGAGAAAAAACCAACATATTCGGGAAAGAAATTCTTTATGCATTTACCAAAAAATATAAAGTCTGAAAAGAATATTGAAAAATTTAAGAAGAAACTCAAAGAGTACATAGTAAACAAACCAATATATTCATTAGATGAGTTTTTCCACCTTTGTTCACAAAAGAAATAAAAAGTATATTTCAGGACAAATTATGTTAAAATAGTTAAGGTTCAAACACTGATGTATTTTTAATATAATTTTTTGACACTATTTATATGTACCTATGTGCATGAAATAAATAAAGAATTTTTGATTTGATTTGATTTGATTTGATTTGTCGTACTAACCATTATTTCATAGATTGCCCTTTAACCCTCAAGGAGGTGCTTCACCAGTAAAACGGGAGCGGGCGCATGCAGAGTTTTATTCCGCAACACTAAACAGCATGAATTTGACCCATTTTACTTGTTGTTATAACGAAATATTATATGTAAGTGTTGAATAACCTAATCAGAAACCCAATTTCTTTGTTAATAACATTATTTGTTTAACTTAATATGAGTAATATTTCAAATAAACATATTGAACAATTTTCTAGTATAAAGGTAGGCCTAAGTTACGAGAGAGGGCGCTTGCGGAGTTTTGTTCCACAATAATGCAACTATACATGCAAACAAAATATATTTGATAATAATTATAAATGAAATAATACAACTTAAACAAGTTTATAATGTTGTATGTATAAAATATACACACAGTTTGACATGAGTGCATGAGGAAATAAACTCTGCGCTAAGGACTTACGCGATAGAGCGCACGTGGAGTAAACCTCCGCAAACTGACACCGCGTCACTGAATTGCAGCTGACAACAAAATGAGGAGGAATTCGGGGTAAAAATAGCTTAGGAGCATTCCCAGGATGAGGTGCGTGAAGTGTAGAGCTGGACACGACTGCCGACACCCATTATGCATATTTATATTAACAAACACTACAAGTGCAGAGGAAAACTCCGCAAGCGCCCACTCGAGGGTTAAGGTCGTAATTCCTTTCTAAAGGGGACTTTCCTTTTACCTAACTTATTTGTCTGTTATACTTTTAATTTATTAACTTATTAAAATCAGGTGGGATTATTTGTTTGTATTATGTTTTGTTTATTTCAGCTTAACTTAACTAATCAATAGTTTTATTAATTTAATACTTATGAAGTCAAATGGGGTGAAGCCCGTGGGTAACAGTAATCCGTGTTACTCAGCTTTTATGAATTAATTTTTATATTTGGAATTTCAACACTAGAACTGGTAAAATAGACTAACCTTTTTCAGGTTGAACCAGAAGGTGTAAAGAATATTCTGCAGTGGATCAGAAGGAACTACGGAAATCCAAAAGTGATCATCACAGAAAATGGTTGCTCTGATCCTCACAAACTTGAGGACAATCACAAAGTAGAATATCACAAGGTTCGTTTTGAGAGGCATTGAGAAACTAAAAGCTCATGTAAAATAATGGGGCAATTTATGTCAACAATTTATGACAATTTATGGCGATTCTCTAGTCAATCTCCACCAAGATTCAAGAAAATGAATCTCAAGCAGAAATAAGAACTAATTTTTAAGACAATGAGACACAAACATATACAGTACAAATATAAATTATAAGTATTTAATAATCTAGTCAAACTATGTTACTGGTTTCTTAAGGCTTTAAAAAAAGAAAAGTGGCCCATAGTTTTACTGAAGCCAAAATAATAATTACTTCTCTATATAAAAACTCATTGAAATGAATAGTTATTTATAAATGTATATGATCTGTTACAAATTAAAATTGGTAGAAGATTGAATTTATTGATCTAAGTACACCAATAAGTGTAAAAAGTGTCTTTAAAGTGTAAAACCCATTTCAAACAGGCTTGTTTTGAATGAACGTTGAAACTGTCAAGAAACATTATTCTGTTTTATATTTCCAATGCAAGCCTTCAATAATCAATTTAATTTTGACATTTTTAGACTCTTTCATTGAATTTCTCTGTCACAATTGCTTTCTATAACTACTTGATTAATTGTTTCCTAGGCCTATCTAAAGCAGATCCTGGAGGCCATCAAGGAAGGCTGCAATGTCCAAGGATACACAGCTTGGAGTTTTCTGGACAGTTATGAATGGGACTGCGGCTATACGTAGGTTTATGTTACTTACGGTCTTATAAATCTAGTAAAACTGTTGAAGTTATAAATATGAAGAGATTGAAAAACTATAAGTCTCTTCTAGTAAAATTTATCAATAAAGCAAAATCCCCTCAAGGGAATGCTAAAGTGCCCCCCTGATAATTAGGAGTACTCTAAATTTTCAGGTCAACCTTTTAAGCGTCGCCTTCATTTTAAAATATCGGTTTAGTTTGAATAAAAAAACCAAAGATGCAAATGTTCAAAAGAAAAATAAGAATAGAATGTTTATCTTTAACAAAGTGTTCAAGATACAACACACATATTAGAAACATAATTTAATATCTTTACTCAAGAGTTGTGTCAGTTTTAAGTAATGAAAAGCCAAAATAAAACAGAAGGTCTCTAATGCTATAACAATTTTTTTTCAACAGGGAAAAGTTTGGTCTGTATCATGTTGATTTTGAAGACCCTGCTAGACCTAGGACTCCGAAGAAATCTGCAAAGTTCTACAAAGACTTCCTACAAACAAGATGTTTACCATGACCCACCTAAAAGTATTTGTATTTATTGTTTTACATTTCTAATAAAACTAATCTGTTTTTATTTGTTAATGACTTTGTCATAAAGCCTGCCTTTATGAGCATTGGGGGTTAACATTAAGTATTCATCCAGTAGAACTTTATATTTAAAAGACAACGAAGAATTCATCTTACTGATGTAGGGCATGAACATTTTTTTTAGGAATTTGTATGATTTCAGTTAGATAACAGTAGTGATAAATGCAAAACTTTTGCACTTAGTTTTGATGGAACGAAAAACTAGTAAAATCTATATTTTTTCCTTAGATTTAATTAATTAGTTTTAGCTTAAAAGCTGAGTAACCTCTAATAAACTTAATTTAATTTCAACTTAGTACAGTCTCTACAATAATAAAGTATGGGTACTGATCATAAAAACAAAGCCTTTTACTTAAATTTTTATATGTAAAATATGTTTGCTTTCGGACCATGTACTTATGCTTAGTATCCGTTCATGAAGGTTTCTTTGAGTTCATTGTAGCTTTGCTTTGCCTGAAAAAAGGAAAAAATGTAGACTTAGTTTTTCAGTAGATTATTAATACAACATATTTAATCAAAAAAGTTTTGTACAAATATTTCCGAACAATTTGGTTGTCCCAACCCAATCCCAACAACAAACATTTGGCAATCCCAGGGTCCTAAGACAATTAGTTCAGATTAGCTGGTGTCTGCCTGGATAATCAATCTTAACTTCCCTGAAGACTATATATCTGACCAGTTAAAATATAAATTTTAAGACAATCTGAATCCTTCACCTACGCTACCCCATTAGTTAATATTTTTTTGAGTCTACAGGAATTGTGAAATAACCTAGCTGCTAAGTTTTATTAGAAAGATCAAAGTAAAAATTAGCCAGGTAGGGTAAAATGTTACAATGGCAGTCCTTACGCCCAGCTAACAGTAAATCCAGCAAGTGAATACATTTTTCCTTTTCTTTTAGTGATACAGTATTCATATCTATTCAATAACAAATTCCCTTACCCTGTCTGAGTTGTTGATGATGCAAGATATCATGTTGATCACAGCGTCTCCGTCAGTTCCTGGAACTAAAAATTGTCGTTTTGTCATTCAAGATTTCAGATGTTGTTAACCATAACTAAATATAATTTATACTCAGTCAAGCTAGTTACCAATAGAAGCAAGTTTTCTTCTGCATTGCCTGATGATTTTCTATTTTTAGAATCTTTCATTCTAAAATAAACCACCGTAACTTCCTTTTTTGTTAAATTTTAAGTATCCTATCTCTAACCATTCAGTTTTATTTAACTTTTTAATGAGGTTTGCAGTCTCTTTAAACTCAGCATTTGCCTGTCCACACTGTTACTTATATCTGTGCATGGAATGTATCCAGCAAATCAAGGGGGTGAGCCAGTACAGTACTAAGGTGTACTGTACTGATAAAAAGTAGTCGCAGGTACCAGGATCTGAACCCAGCACATTGGTGCTTTGGGCTTCGTGGCGCTTACTGACTTGCCTCACTCATTCTTTACGTCATTTGCTAATAATGTGTTCAAATCTTCCCTTGTATTAAAATTATTGCTTTAATTTTGTTCTACTTCTTGTTTGTAAAAGCTATAACTTTTTGGGTCCCTCAAAATTAAACTGTGGTTTACTGGTACTAGACTCAATCCTTTTTGTGACTTAATGGAACTATCACTTAGTGAATTGATTGATCCAAAATGCTAAGTACTTTTATCATTTTGTTTGTTTACATTTTTTTATTGCTGTTTAGTATCGGTGCATTGCCATTTTATTTTAGCAGGGTTGAACACCAAGCAGGGTTCTGTAGCGTCCGTGTACCAATTAATTCAGCTAATTTCTAAGCTATTAAGGTTAATTCTTATTAGTTGAAGAATTTTCAATGCAAATTTATTGCTTTTTTAAGTTACAAAGTTGTTTGCAGTATTATTTTAACGACTGGTATTATAATGTACATACCTGAACTACATGATTGGAATGTCTGGTCAAATTCGTTTATTGCCTCTTGATCCTTAATGCCATCTTTGAGTGAAGCTAACTTGTCTTGGTTCCATCTGCCCTCCTCTGTCATCTAACAGTATGATCGGTTAAAAAGTAGTTATAGCTCCTAATAACCTAGATTTTCAAATTTCAAATAAGTACCAAGATTTAGGAAGTAGGTTAAAAAACAATCACACTATTGTATATGGCTAAGGTGCTTTAAAAATATCCAACACAACAAAGGTTTATCCTTTGTGGAGGCAAATAAAATTGATTTTGACATCCAATTTAAAAAAATGGTGCTATAGCGTTACATATTCAAATTGAGTTTCCCAACCTTGAAGCTGAATGTTATTACTTACAGTGTTGTAAACTATAGACTACTTACGTAGTTGAGTTTCTTTACTGCACATGTCATTGCTTGCTGAAAGAAATAAATTGTGTTATTCATCATTCCTATTTTCCATTACTTGGAAATATACAATACAATGTTCAAGTACACAAATTGTTAAAACTTAAAAATAGTTGTTAGTCTGAGTGTAGATGTTTTGTTGAACAGTTTTCAACCCCAAAAACTTAATCAAAATATTTGTCAACCCCAAAATAATATTTTTTAGTCCCGGAGTATTCTTATAAGGTATAAATTGGCAAATAATTGTGTTGAATTAAAGTTCTGTCATGTATGGGAATGAAATGCCAATCTGAAGGGGATAAGTGCATAATCGTTATTTTGTTCAAAAAGATAAATAATACTACAGTACACCGATTTCATGTAATGGTGTACTAAATCTGCTATGTATGTGCATTGGCAGTAGACCTATCTAAATGAATGTGAGTACCAATTATATACTATACAATGACCAATAATTCAAGTAAAAACCGAACTGGTTAATCGACTCATTTAATTTTTTTTCTAATTTTGTTAAAAGTTTATTTAGTTACCTTGCATCCATCAAATTGAGAGTCATTTGGGTTGTTTTCACCATCAAACTGAGACAGACACAGTTCTGAAAGCAAAGGAGTAGAATGTTAGTTTTGAATTTGTTACAGTATTTAATAAGAAGGTTTCAAGAATAACTCATGAATAAGTTATTTTTTAAGGATAGTGTATTTGGTCCAGTAGGCTACAACAAGATGGCTGTTTGAACAAATATATTTTATCACACTGTCAGGAAAAAAGCCGTTTTAGTTCTCTAAATCATCCGCGAAATCATCTTTTACGGTAACTTCAAATAGGGAACAGATAAAACATATTATGGTAATTTTTTTTGGTTTGCTAACCTCAAAATTTGTTTATGACACATTATAAATGTTGTTTACTATTTGAAACACACATGAAAACGTTGCTAATCACAACATATTTTTAAGTTATGTTTGTAAACAACAGAAATGTAAACATTGATGATGACTTTGTATAACCTCTTTATACTTTTACTTTATACTTTTCATTGAAATGGCGACCATACATAGTAGGTATTTTAAGCCAAGTATGAATGGAGATGAGTGTAGAATGAGTGGCGCGATCTTGTAGTCTTGTTAGTGACTAAGGCCGACATTCCTTAGACACGGCTGTTAATTAATAGCCCAAACAGCTAATGGCAACTAAGGGACCTACAGTTTATAGTGGAATCCGAACCACATTTTTCCTTGGTATATACGAATTGGTCTAATTATCAGGACAACTATTTTCATCATACTGTGGAAATAACCTTCCAATCCTTCAAAATTAGACAGCATAATTTGAGGTTATACAAAGTCATCATCAATGTTTCAAGATGTTTCACGGAGCAAACGTGTCTCTATAATACTTAATCATATAACATATTGTAATTGTATAGCAAGATTGCGTACCAAAAAGAGCCACTTTCACTCCTAGTGATGAAATATACTATTTTACGAATGGTTTCCTCCAACTGTGCTCTAAAAAATTTAAGCTTGAATGTTATGAGGTAGGTAGGTATACTATTATAGCTAATTTCTAATTTCAAATGGAATGAACTCCAGATTAGTTATTGACAAATTCTTACTTCAACAAATAATAAGATCAATTCAAATTCATATTGAATTAACAGAGGTAAAACAGTGGTTTGAAAACAGAGATTAAATTAAGTCATTTTAACCTTACAGATAACATGGATTAAGCATACTCTGAAATGTCTATGGAAGTATTATTTATGTGTCAGAAATATCAGCATTTTAACTGTTTTATTATTTCCCTTGATTACAATAATATAAGTACAAAAATTACAACCTTTAAAATAAAATAACGTTATTTGTGCCATGAGCAAAGTACTTACCTTATGTGACAACTGTATACAAAGATTTTTTACCTGGGGAAAGTTTGCCTTGAAGATCGTCTGTGCACATGGATACAGTAGCAAACATCTTTCCCATCAGGCGGTTAAACAATGCAGCCTGCAAAACATGACTATAGTCTGTATGATGGAACCTGTCTCCTAACCCTTCGTCTACCTGAGCCATAAATCATTGGCTAGTTCCCAGGTGGACGAACGGTCAGAAGACAGGTTGCATCATACACAGTATACTTTCAACTACTGTTGCAAATTGTAGTACCCCAGGAAATATATTTGTAAGGTACATAGCTCAAGGCATAAGTTCTATAAGTTAAATTGTCTAGCTGGTAATTAAATTAAATTTGAACTGGTAAGCTAAACGTTTCTTATATAGGAATTTATAAATTAAAACAACTAAGGCCTACGTTTATTCCTGTGAATAATAAAATGCTTTTTTGACTTTGGGACGGTAATTAAAACATGATTTATTGACTCATGATGAACTTTAACTATCACTTTAGTGTGAAAAGTTTTACTTGTACTACCCACACAGCTCTAATGATTGCTTTTCCATACAAACAACACTATGATTTAAGATAAAATGTAAGAGGCCTTTTGATTTTTGCTGTTTTTGTAGAGTTATTTTAACATATTTTGGGTGCATAGTAAGTGCTCAGACTTGTTATTGTAAATATTTAGTTCAAGAACAAACCTAATTTCTTTAACTGTGTAAGAACTATAATTACAAATTGAGGAATAATCAATCAACACATGGATCAG